TATATAATATATAATATATTTATTATATATTACACATTTCATTCATTTGTGTACGATTTGTATGTAAATATCATTCTTTAAGAATTTATCGTAATATATTTATTTGTCCGCATACATAAAAACACACACACACACACACACACACACACACACACACACACACATTACATATGCTTGTTTTCACAATGTTCCAGATATTAATACTTAATCTTTCTCTCGTAATTAAGCGCGTTGCTCACATCGCTGCGCTAACGCATCGCCATTGCCAAGGCTTGCAACGACTTAGCAGCTGCAGTAGAGTTGGACAAAAGGCCCGTGGCTTGCCGTAGCTGAGCCAGCGAGGATGACTTGGCGTGGTGAAATAATTGATGTTACCCTCGTATGATTACAGTGGCACCGCCGGTGATCGCGCCGAAATAAAGCTCGAGGAGACGTAGGGCGAATTTGAGAGACATCCAATCAGCCGCAGCCGAGAAATCGGCCACCCACAGCACATTACACTCTCGAGCTGCTCGAAGGGACTGGAGACGTCTTTACTTAACAGCCAAAAAAAAACTGAATATTTCCCGAGTGAAACCATAAAGTATACCCCCCCTCCCACCGACACAACACGCACCGCAATAAGCACCACGCATACATGTGCACACGCACGTTCGTCTGCGTGGTGATCGGCAAGATCGATCTCCCGCAGGATAATGAAGAAATAGAAAACGAGAACGAATGTACGAGTGTAGTTTTATGGCGATTTATAGCGGTTATATGCAGTATTAATCGCAGTTGCGTAAAGACCTCGTTCACTTTTGATTGATTGTTATTATATGCCAATAGGTTTCATCTAATGATGTTATAATTGTGATGATAAGTAAATAAGGATATTGATTTTATTCGAAACGCGTTAAAAGATGTACTTCATTTTTATTCGTTATCTTTCCGTTATCGAAAGGATAGCTATTTGTTACAGCGCGAGAGACGCGTCGGAACGAAAAAAAATATTCCTTTACAGAAAGGGATAGTTATGTATATGTTCGGTCAATCGACGTTGATTTGAAACTACAGCGATCTCATGACCATTCCTTTTTACAAAGGAGATCCGTACATTCGTTCTAACAAATCGCATCCAATTAATTCGAGGACCGATCGTTTCAGACCGCCGAAGTCGAGAGGAAGATGCCGCCGCAGTGCCGGCTCGAGAGCTAAAAACGTCTGGCTGTTCAACATTTTTTTTCTTCCCTTTAGTTCGCCACTTAGATCTCCGCCGCTCGTTAATCGTTCTCGTGTGTATTATGTTACAGTAAATGAGGTGGTCGTCGACAAGTGGGCTCAGTAAATGAGTGGGTCGTCGACAGGCGTGATCCCACACTCCGTCGCCGCTGAGCGCGTGAGGCAAGCTCAACCCGAAAATAAAAAAAAAATCCAAACGAAAGAAACTAAAAAAGATGCAAAGACGAACGAACAAAAGCGTGAAATAATCGGCGTGCTTGTGCTCCATAGAGCGCTGAAATAACAGAAACGGCAGCAACAGCAGCAGCAGCAACGCACTCGATAACCACTTAACTACCTGCCAACCTGTAGTTCGGGGATCCTCCTTCAAGCCCAGGACTCCCCCGATTGCTGAGTAGATGCGCTGTACTATCTCGCCGCTGCTTTTATTTTTTTTCATCTTCTCTTCTCCCTCTCCGCAAGATCGCTGCGCATGAGAGGTCGTTCGAGTCGAGGTCGTCGTCCTGAGGCCGACGAAAACGAAGCGAACGAACGGCTTTGAGGAAACTCTTCGTCTTCGGTATCTGGAGCCGCATATTAACGTTCTTAACTCAACGACTGTGCCTTCTTAGAGCCGATTGCGCCAAGGTCGGTCAGTGCTAATCTCAATTGAACCACCTTTTCTCCCTCCTTCTGTCCGTGCAAGGTGTCATTTACAGTCGCGCTCATAAAATGTAAGACTTATCGGCGTTTTATTATTATTGATAAAATAATCGTTTTATCAAATTACTTTTTATTTAAACGACTAAAAGAAACTAATGTTAGTCAAAATCTGGAATAATTGGAAGGATCGAGATCAATAGACTTTCCTTTCACATTTAACACTTCGTAGGACAGAATTTGGGTAAAAGATTAGCTGATTCGGACCGTCGGTGCAATTCAGCTTTAATTTCCTACCCGAGCGAGGAACGATAACTGATCGCGAGAAAGTAGGAAAGCGCTGCCTTGTAATCCATTTTTAATCCCTAATGCCTTGGGCGCATATTAATGCACATATCGCAATCTTAACGGCCACGCATTCCTCTTTTTTCTAAATCCAAGTAATTGTAAATCAATCACTGATGCTTCTGAAAAATATTCCGAAAGTAATCAGACAGCTTTATTAAAGACGACAGCTTGCCTGAAAGTGAGATTTTTAGAGTAAGAACGTATTCGATACGTAAGGATCGAGAAAGAGAATCGATCTGGTCGAGAATCTCATTAATAAAGAAAAGACAAATTAAAACGTTTGCCTGAATGTATTTAGATTTGCATTCGTTTCATCTCGTCTCTTTTTCGCCCTTCTCTCTTAACCATTTTCAGACGCACTATATTTGTCTCTATTCTTCTCACCTATTTTCCGTGTCGCTTTATCGATATAGCGTTTTACCGTTTTCTCTTTTCTATTTTTCTCTTTCTTCTCACATTTTTCTTTCTTCTTATTCTGTTTTTTTTTTCCGATATAAAGATCTCGCTTGGCGGTACATTCTTCCACCTAACAAACTCGACGCGACGGTCGTGTCCTCGACTATACAAGCAAATAAAGGCAACAATCTACATTTTCGATC